CCTATATAAACCCTAAACCCTACATCGTAAACCTAATTATAAATAATAAGCTCCAATAAAAATTTTAAACCCTAGACCCATAAAACCGAAACCTTATAAATGCATGGCTCCAAATACGCCCCACATAACTCGAGATCTGGATCCTTCGAAAATTTCGGCCGAGGCCGAACCACCGATGGCTTGGCAGCATGCTGATATGGATGAAATCCTGAATTTCCTTCGGGATGAACGGGCAGCTGGGCGATACAATCCTGTAATGTCTCTGTAGCTGAGATATCTGGCTTCGACAGGCCAATCTGCAATTATGCAGTCCCATATGCACCTATTAGCCAATACTTCTAGATCTACTAATAATTACTAATAATTAATTTTTAGAATCGAACCCAGAAGCTGCAGCAAACTGTCGATCCCAGCAACTGCTCCTGTACCTAGATTGTCTACTGGGGTGCATGCTGATGTACCTGGCAAGGTGTGCAGTTTGCAATTTACACAATTAGATCAAATTAAAGGGCTTGGCATGTAGCTGACACCAGCTTGTGCAAAAGTGCGGTCAAGAATCGATCCCGGGGCTGTCACCATCATCGCTCCTTCAGAAGCCGATCGAAGGGTTGCCGGCTAGGGTCCGATGGGGGAGGGGCTCGTGGAATTCGTTTGTTGGGACCTTCTCAATTGATTAAATTACAATTATAATTGATGGTTTTACCTTTGATTCTGGGGGGGAATTCTAGGCGTGACTTTAGCGTGACTTCAGCGTGACTTTGGCGTGACTGTGGGTGTCTATAGTACTATAGCAGTATTGGGGGGACCGTGACCGTAGCGTGACTGTAGCGTGACTTTCATGTGACTCTGGGTTCTTTAGAGGGTCGATGCTTCTAGGGCTAGAGAATACCAGGAGTACAATGAGGGCCGGTGTGGGTTGCAGCGTTTTCCTCAGGCTGATGATTATGGGTCCTTGTGATGAAACCCAGCTTTTACCTACAACTTGGATGTGCAGCTGCACATGCGGGTAAGAGAGTACAGTCCCTACTTCGAAGATCATGATCAAAGATCTAGATTGGCAGTATATTATCATGTCTTCGAGCTCCATGGTGAGACCCCATGGTGTGCTGGCCGACAGCAGAATCGACACACTCATGCAAGCTGCTGCAGAGCTGAAGAAGAGGGCCTTGCAAGGCAGTGAGTATGAAGAAGGTGCTGCTGAGGAACCCGCCAAGACGACTACACCAGTGAAGGCTCCCCCGTGCAAGGTTGAGCAAAGGACACCCGCTCTGCCTAAGGCAAAGCTATGCAAGACAGAGCATCAAAGCCCAGCTGCTGCTTCCGACGCTTCTGCGGCCTCTGTGGTGGCCTCTAGCCAAGGGAGCCCAAGCTACGGGTCCAAGCGCCGAGGCAGAAGCCACACGCCAAGTGGTTCGTGCAGGAAGCGACGCCGGGTAAAAGGAGCACCGACTCCAGAAAAGCCTAGCAAAGCACCGACTCCAGAAAAGCCTAGCAAAGCACCGACACCAGAAAAGCCGACCAAAGCACCGAGTCCAGAAAAGCCGACCAAAGCACCGAGTCCAGAAAAGCCGACCAAAGCACCGACTCCAGAAAAGCCGACCAAAGCACCGACGCCAGAAAAGCCGACCAAAGCACAGACTCCAGAAAAGCCGACCAAAGCACCGACTCCAGAAAAGGCCACCAAAGCACCGACTCCAGAAAAGGCCACCAAAGCACCGACTCCAGAAAAGGCCACCAAAGCACCGACTCCAGAAAAGCCGACCAAAGCACCGACTCCAGAAAAGCCGACGAAAGCCGTGACCCCAGAAAAGGCCCTGACTCCAAGCACCCCGCACAGCATTGGAAAGCGTAGCCGCAGCAGCCCATCGAAGCGTGCACCAGCTCAGGCCAGACCATACGTGCTATAATGTTATATATTCCCCCGGGGTATATAATATAATTTTATCTTGTATAGTTATAAATCTGCTTTGAAGCAGCTCCTCTACGCAGGATGACTCCGATCTCGAGCGCAGTGGCAGCCGCGCCAAGTCTGGCCCGCTGGTGCGCAGCAACACCGTGCCTTCGCTGCCGATCTATTGGTTTATAATTATATTATAGAATTTATTAGGTATCATAATTGCAGGTGTAGTTCGGGGCATGGCTGGGTATGTGGTTTAGCATTTGAGGCTTCGGCTTTGGGATTGAGTCGGAATTCCAAGATACAATAGCCCAGGGGCCGATTTTCCCATCGATCGTGAGTTCAGGGATACCAACTTGTGGTGCCCTTTGCAGGTGTTGTGTGTCTAATTAGTGGCCATGACGGGAATTTTAATCAGGATTTTGCATTTCCGGTTCAGGGTTTTATCTAGCTTCACCCAAAGCTCCTATAAATAAGCCTCTTTCCTGTGAATAGCCAATATTATATATATAGACCCTACCCCAAGCCCTCCGAAACCTTCCCAACCTAATCAAGGGTATTATGGAAGGTCTCCTGGATCAATGTGGAACATTTATAAATGTTCCACATTGATCCAGGAGACCTTCCATAATACCCTTGAGCTTCCAATTTTACATCGAGAGCTTTCTTGGGTAGCTCGGACTCAATTGCAAAACATCCCTCAGAAACTTGAGGCTGCAACCCCAGGCCTGCACATGTAATTACTCTAGTGTCTCTGCATCTATCGATATAGATGATCCCCGTATATGCATCTCCCCATATATATATTATATATATAAGGTTCGTCTGAACAAACAAAATTTTAAACCGACCAGGCTTGATGCAGTTGCAACACAGCTTTGATTGACTTTCTCTGTGTAGATAATACTGCTATGTATTTTAATTTATTACTACCACATATATATACATAAAAGCTATAGTAAGAATTATTACAAAAACAATATAAATATATATATATATATATAGAGTACATGCTATACTGCTTAATAATACTAGTATTAGTAGTAGTAATATTAGTAGTACTAGTAGTAATAGTAGTAGTGGTAGTGGTAGTAGTAGTAGTAGTAGTAGTAGTAGTAGTAGTAGTAGTATATAGTAGTCGTAGTAGTAGTAGTAGTAGTAG